TATTACAGGTGTGCCACATTTTCCCCCCAATTGACCCCCTCCACCTCGCTCCCACCCCCTCTCCAGGCCTTCACCCCCCCTCATTGTCTGTGTCCATGGGTTATGCATATACGCATATAACTTCTTTGGTTAATCTCTTCCCACCCTCCACCCCCCTTCCCTCTTCCCTCTGATATATGATCATCTGTTACATGCATCAATGTCTCTGGATCTATTTAGTTCGTCAGATTCTTTTGTTCATTAGCTTCTTCTGAAAGAAGACCCTTCAACATTTCCTGTAGTGCTGGTCTGGTGGTGGTGAACTCCTTTAGTTTTTCCTTGCCTGTGAAGCTCTTTATCTGACCTTCAGTTCTAAATGATAGCTTTGCTGGGTAGAGTAATCTTGGTTGTAGGCCCATGTTTTTCATCACTTTGAATATTTCTTGCCACTCCCTTCTGGCCTGCAAGGTTTCTGTTGAGAAATCAGCTGACAGTCGAATGGGTGCGCCCCTGTAGGTAACTAACTGCTTTTCGCTTGCTGCTTTTAAGATTCTCTCTTTGTCTTTGACCTTTGGCATTTTAATTATGATGTGTCTTGCTGTGGGCCTCTTTGGGTTCCTCTTGTTTGGGACCCTCTGTGCTTCCTGGGCTTGTAAGTCAATTTCTTTCCCCAGGTAGGGGAAGTTTTCTGTCATTATTTTTTCAAATAGGTTTTCAATTTCTTGCTCTCTTTCTTCTCCTTCTGGGATCCCAAGAATACAAATATTGGGCCTCTTGAAGTTGTCCCAAAGGCTCCTTATACTATCTTCATATTTCTGGATTCTTTTTTCTTTTTGCTCTTCTGGTTGGGTGTTTTTTGTTTCCTCATGTTCCAAATTGCTGATTTGATTCTCAGCGTCCTCTACTCTACTGTTGATTCCCTGTAAATTATTCTTCATTTCAGTTCGTGTAGCCCTCATTTCAAATTGGTACTTTCATCAGTGGTCTCAGTTGTTTTCGTAATACTCTTACTAATATGCTTGAGCGTCGTTTTAAACAAAATTCTGAACTCTGTATCTGTTAGCTTGCTTGGATCTATTTCATTTAGTTCCTCTTCTAGAGATTTCTTCTGTTCTTTCCTTTGTGACATGTTTCTTTGCCTCCACATTTTGGCTGCTTCCAGGTGTTTGTTTCTATGTATTAGGTAGAGCTGCTATGTCTCCTGGAATTTGCAGAGTGGCTTTGTATAGTAGGTGTCCTGTAGGGTCCAGTGGCTCAGCCTCCCCAGTCACCTGAGATGGGCCTTTTAGGTGGTCCCCTGTGTGGGCTATGTGCACTGTCCTGTTGTAGGTGAGCCTTGGTTGCTGCTGGCGTCACTGGGAGGAATTGACCCCCTGGCCAATCAGCTATGAGGACCAGCTGCAACTACAGCCAAAGAGCTGCTGTGCTGGAGACACCTCTGTGGAGTAGAATTTACTTCAGTGGAGCTTTGGTTTTCACCAAGTGCACCCCTTGAGTGTGTCACTTGTGGATGTTGTAGTTTTGTAATCCAGCGTGGTCGTGTCTGACCACCAGGTGCATTGTCTCTGGGGCTTCCTGGGATGTACAAAGTTAGCCACTGCCAGTGACTTGCCCAGGGCCACCCAGCATGAGCTACACAGCAATCCATAGTTGGCTGCTATTTGTGCTGGGCTTGGAGGTGTCCAGGAGAGGCCAAGCTATGAAACAATGCAGGTTGCTGCTAGTGCCAGGCCTGGGGCCACTTACCAAGCCGTATGGGGCACACTGCTGCTTGTTTGAGAGATTTTAGGAAAGTTCTAAGCATGAGGCTTGAGAGGCCACTTGCACAGAAAAGCCCCTGGAAATGGCCTGGATGAGCTTGCAGGGAGGGAGGGGTAGGGCCCCTGGGAATCATGGACAGGGCGGTGCCAAATGTGTGAGGTGCTGGCGATTCAAATATGGCGCCTGCCTGCTGGCTGTGTGTGGGGAGGGTTCACCAAAGGAGTAATGGCCTCTGCCAGCTCTTCTGCCTAGGAGGAAGCTGCCCCTCCAGCTCTTGCCCCAATTTCAGGCAGGTTAGTTCCTACCCAAATGTCCCAAGTTTCTTTCAAGTTGCTACCCAGCGCTGGGGCCCAGAGGTAGTGGGTCAGACTGAGTCATGCACGGGCCCTTTAAGAGGAAAGCATGGGACTCCTGCAGCCTCCGGGACCCGCAGGGACAGTTCCCGCTGGTTTTCACAGCCCGAAGGTGTGGGGACTTCTCTTCCAGTCCCCGGAACCCTGGGCTGGGGGCCTGATGTGGGCTGTGACCCCTCACTCCTCCAGGAAACCTCCACCGCCGAGATTCCCATCCCCAGGTTTAAACCATGGCACCAGGTGTGGGCCCGGAGCCACATCTTCTCGATTCAACCCCGATCCGCCCCCGTCTCTGCCCGTCTTACGGGTCTTGGTGCTTCTTCAGCTCCTTGGCTGTAGGGCTTCTGTTTAGCCAGATTTCAGGAGGCTCTGAGTGATAGTGGTTCTGTATTTTAGTTGTAATTTTGATGTGGCTGCGGGAGGCTAGCTACGCCGCCATCGTATTTCCTATCTCCAGATACTCTTTTTTCTGTATATTTGTGTTTTAGAAGAACTATTAGCAGCTTGTGGTCAACCCAAATCCCTATCATGGTCACATCCTAGATGTTTTAATCATTTATAACTATTCTGCCTTTAAAACTCAAACTCTTCCTTAATAGCTTACTCTCTGACCACAACCTCTTAGTGATTTCCTCGTTTTGTTCTGTAGAGTCCTTGGAGATGGACAGGAGAAAAGTCAGTAGGATCCCAGCCTCTATCCTGCTGCAACTCTACTTTAAAAAGTTTTACATATTAGGCTTCTGTGTGAAATTTATTTGAAGAGGTTTCACTGGTTAAAAACTCATTTTAAAAACCGCTTTCACAACATATTAATCCCCTTAGTGGTCTTCAACCTTGGCTGCATATTAATCACTGGCAAAGCTATTAAAAATTCCAGCAATCCCAGATCAATATATCAAAATCTCTACGGATGGGATCAGACCATCAGTATCTTAATGTGAAGCCAAGGCTGAGAATCATTGTTATAACTTCTTATTACCAACCACATCTATTCTCTGACTCACTAGATCACTTCATTTTCTTCCAACTTAGCCATTTCCTAGCACCTGGTCAATTCTTAGCAAACCCAGATTCCATGGTTAAACCATATGCCAATATTCTGAAAGCTAGTTTGTGTTTCTGCCATATCCACCGTACTGAATGTTGATTGGTAAAAACAAAACTTTGTAGTTTTCATTTTCTTTAAGGACCTCAATAACTTCTCTCAATCTCCTTAATTTACTTCCATCTTCTTTCTGGTCTCAGAAGAGCTAATATTGGCAACTATACCTCCAGCTCACCTGTCAGGATCTTCACTCTACTAATGATGATCTTTCCTTCCCATCTTCCTCCTCAGCCTTCTCGGCTTATAATTAATTTCAACTCTCTTTATCCTTAAAAATCCCTTTACCCTGAATTATATTTTAGCTTACCTACTGTTTTATCACTTTTCTTTCTTTCTTTTTTTTAATAGTCAAGCTCCTTTAAAGAGTAGTTTTGACAGATGGCTCTACAGTACTTCCTTAACTCCTTTTTGCTCCTCAACCCACAGCCATCCGCTTCTGCCTCCTACTTCTCTGCTGAAACTAAAGCAGACATACTTGTCAGTGTTTTTATACTTGACCTCTCTATCATTTAATATTGCTGGCCAGTCTTTTAAAAATCTTTCTCTCTTCATTTCTGAAAAATTACTCTCTCCTGTTTTTCCTTCCTTTCCAACTTTTTCTCCTCAGAACACACACACACACACACAAATACATATATCTAACAGACACCTCTCTGGAAGGTCTAGATCTGTATTCACAATAAACTGTCCACTAGATATCTTCATGTAAATATCCAATGGGCACCCATTAAACCATTTCCAACATTATCCTCCTCATTTCCCCTTGCAAGCCTCTGAACTTTCTCATATTCTTGGTCTAGTTTGGGGAAAATCTAATTTAAGCTTGTAACAACTGTTGCTTGGACTACTGCAACAGCCTCATGATTTGTCTCTCTACTCTTGATTTAACATCCCTAAAATTAATCTAATATACCAGAGATTAGCAAACTTCTCTGTAAATATTTTTACTTCTCAGTAAATATTTTCGGCTTTAGGGCCACAAAATCTCTGTTGCAACTACTCAACACTACTGTTTTTGCACAAAAGCAGCTATAATGATACATAAATGAACAGCATGGAGATGTCCCAATAAAACTTTATTTATAGAAACAGGTGGCAGGTATGGGGCATAATTTGCCAACTCCTGTAAAATGCTATTGTCAAAGTGCTCTTAATACTAATTTCATCACATATATCATCTTAAAAACCCTTCAATAAACTGGGTACCTCGGAGCTACCTCTGTATCTTGAATGTACCTTTATTTTTATACTCATAAGATTATTTGTTTACATCTTTGTCTTATATCAAATAGTAAACTCTGAATGTAAAAGTAATGTGGCTTTAAAAATATGTTATGGCATTCACTATGGATCATGAACTGTGCAAAGGCTTTTATACATATTATCTTAGTACTCAAAATGACTCTATGAGGGGAAAAATATTTATAGATAAGAATACAGACATAGTCATTCAGCTATTAAATGAGTCAAAATTCAATACCATGTCTGTCTGACTCCAAAGCTAAATCTCCTATTCAATTATATAAATCCTATGGTGTATAAAGTAAATATCAAAAAGAACTTATCGAATAACTTAGCTAGAAATATAAAGAAAATGTCATCACATATAATCTTAGCAATTGTGTATATGAAGTTATTTCTTAAACTAAAAATGAAACGTAGTAATATACATAGTGAGGTAAACAACTACAAAGTAAAATATGCATTATCCATCATCGCCTTCATTATTTCTACCCAAGGCCTCAAATCATGCTTTGAGAGAATTCAAACAACAATAGTGTCCAGAAGAAAATTCATGTTACCTTCTGTTACTGGTTGGAGTTTGGAAGATCGTTCTGAATCAGGAGAGTGCAGAGGTTCAGGTTCTTTCAGACTTTCCAAATGCAAAAAAGGATCATAATCTACAGATGCCAAGTCTGATAGGCTTATTGGAAAATACCTTGGATTGCTAAAACACTGAGCTCCATAAACACATCCATGTAATACCTGAAAACACAGGGGGAAACACATATAAGCTTTCCTTTTCAGTAAAAATAAATAAATAAAAGTAAAAGGAGAAAAAAATCCACTGTAATACAAAAGCTTGATGAAATTTTAAATGGTTTAAAACTTAGCTCTTCAATCAAGGTAAAATTTAATACCTCTTAAGGAGTAAAGTTTAACTAACGATGCTTATATTTAACAAAGATTTGATTCCTTTCACAACCTGAGAGTAAAACAACAGTGTGTTATTGTAGAAACTACTTTTTAATTATCTTTAGGTACTGTAAGATAAATCTATATACTTATAAAATACCTAGCTCTAAATGAAAATACTAAGAAATGTTACTTCTTTAGGTTTTATAAACCCTTGGTTACCAAATAAATAATAAAGCAAAGAAGTTTACCTTATAAATGCAATTGAGGACAGATTTTTCTATTTTATCATTTTCTGTTCCTGTAGCATGGACTGGTTGGAGCAGTGTCTTTAGAGGTAAGGCCATGATCCAGTCCAGAAGGCACAGAAGTAAAGATACCACCAACTATAACAATAAAATAGATCATTGTTATTGTCAGCTCACAAAGAGCTTAATACTTAACAGAAATTCACCAACTTATTATTTTTTTGTTAATCCTCACCTGAGAATATTTTTTTCCATTGATTTTTAGAGAGAATGGAAGGGAAGGATGGGGCGGTGGGGAGAGTGGGGGAGGGGTGGAGAGAGAAAAAGAGAGAGAGCGACATTGACGTGAGACACATGGATTGGTTACCTCCCACACATGCCCCCAACCGGGGCTGGGGATTGAACCTGCAACCCAGGTACATGCCCTTGACCAGGAATCAAACCTGAGACCCTTCAGTGCACAGATCAACATTCTAACCACTGAGCCACACCAGCCAGGGCTCACCAACTTATTTTTTTGTTTTTCAAATTTATTTCACGAACTATCAATCCTAAATTCTAACATTAATATTTACCTAGACCTAACTTTTAAAATGTTTTACATGAACATTATAGTGGGTTTCTCTGTTACATTTCAGTGCAAGCACAATGAAACCTTAAAAACAAGAATGTTAAATTTCTTTAATTAAAAAACACACACTGAGCTTAAAAAACAACAGGCCTCAATTAGCTATAATTATTTAACTGCTCAAGGAATGGAATACAATTGAAATATTTTAGTCTGTACTTATTACAATCACTTCCACATTCCTCTTCTAATTTAACACCACCTCACTGAGTATCGTGCCAGAAAGACTAGACTATCTTATCCACTTTCTAAAACTGTTACTAGTTTTTAAAAATAAACGTTTCCACTGGATACTTTTAAACCAATGTATGTTATAACCAAAACACTTTTATGGAAAATGTGGAGTAAAATAGCTGTATCTCTGTGGTCCGCTTTATTAAAGAACCACAATTAGTGCCATAAAAGTGTGAATCAAGCAGCAGTAAGAGATCTGTTGATCTTCAGACTGAAAGACCAATTCTCCAACTCAAGGAATAATGCTGGCCTAAATCTCTGAACATATCCTCCAAAAGGAAAATAAAGAACAAAAAGAACCAGTAAGACATCACAAAATCCATATCCTCAATTTTAGCAGGAAAGATTTCAAATTATGTGTTAAGCAGAAAATATACAGCAAATTCCAGTAAGCTTTTCCCCATTCTCCTATTGCAAGCTTTCATGAAGAACAAGGGCAGACTGGGAAAAACTGCAAGAGAGAAGAAAACTAGGTACAAACCTAAAAACCACTCAGAAAGAAAGAGACCATCCTGTGTGTGAGAACTTGGTACTGACCAGGACCTGCTAATATCAAACATTAAAGCTGAACAAGAGCACTAAAAGAATTGCAGTGCCAAAATATATTTCCTAATGGATTTAAAAGCCACATAGAAAAGAGAATTGCACTGATAAACTCAATTAACTGAGAACCAGAGGAACTGTGGACTGAAACTAGAAATACTACTAGCAAAGAATGTGGAAAGGCAATGCCAGGAGTAAAAAGGAAAGAAAAACTGAGATGAATGACGGAGAATCACTAAAAATTGTTAGAGGTAGGTGAGATGCAAAAATAAAAGGTGACAGGGTTAGAATCCTGAATGCAATTTTTCATTGACTATCATGTGGAGATAAAAAGAACTATTATAATAGTCAGTCTAAAGAGATAGAAGAGAACAACAACAACAAAGAAAAAGAAAAAGAAAAAATAAGAGATTGCTCCAGAAGATTCAAGAAATAAAAGAAAAATGAAAACCCAGGTTAGGAATCCCAGATTAGGAATGCTGAACAACCAACAAGGAAACACATTATCTGACCAGGAGAAAGATTTGTCTGAGGAAGAATCTGTAATCCTAAAAGTGAAGTGAAAGCAACCCTGAAAGTTTTGGGAAGAAATAAATTACCAGGGGAGATGGAGTATATAAAGAATTATTTCAAACCACAGAGACTCAATCTGTCAAAATCCTAAACAAGAATATGTGGGATAAAAATCGGAAACTCGTGGACACAAACAGCAGTGTGGTGGTTGCCAGAGGGAAGGGGGTGGGAGGTGAAAGGGGTCCTAATATATGGTGATGGGAGAAGATTTGACTTTGGGTGGTGGGTACACAGAGCAATTGACAGATCTTGTAATAAAGATACCCACACTAGAAACCTATATGATCATATAACCAATGTCAGTCCAATAAGTTTAAGAAAAATAAAAAAAGAATGTCAACAAACAAAACAATGACCTACATACTGGAAACATCCAATATACATCCCAAACTTCAAGAGGGAAGACAGTAAGGGGTGTAGTAAGGTTAATCTATGTTTTACAGATTACAGTGAAGCATCTGATTGCGTCGATCAAGCTACGGGTCGCTCTGAAAGAAATGGGCGTGCCTCGGCATTTGATTGTTCTGATGCATAAACTACGCCTTGGAGAGACAACGGTTTCCTATAGGCAAAGGTGTCCAACAAGGATGCATTTTATCTGTTTGTTTAATCTGTACACAGAACATATATGAAACCTGGGGTAGGCTCAAAGGAAGAAGTGAAAATTGGTGAAAAAATACCAATAACTTAAGATATGCAGATAACACTATCTTACTGGAAGAAAGTAGCAGTGATTTGAAACAACTTTTGATTAAAGTAAAAGAAGAAAGTGCTAAGGCAGGACAGCATTTAAACATTAAGAGGACAAAAATCATGACTACATATGAAATACACAACTTTAACATTGATAATGAAAACACTGAAATTGGTAAGATTCTGCTTACCTTTGTTCATTCATCAATTCAAATGGAGACTGCAACCAAGAAATCAAGAAAAGTCTGAGACTTGGAAGGGCAGTAATGGAAGAATTACAGAATATCACTAGGAGTAAAGATGTGTCCTTAGAGACTAAAGCTAAGATCATTTATACCCTCCTACTCCCAGTTACTATGTACAGATGCAAGAGTTGGACAGTGAAGAAGGCTGATAGAAAAAAATTGATTCATTTGCAATACATGTTGGAGGAGAGCTGCACAAACCAGTGGGTCCTAGAGCAAATTAACCTGAAACATGACAAAACTGACAAAAATGACAAAACTGAAGCTCTCCTACTTAGGGCACATCATGAGAAAGCAGGGTTCTTTGGAAAAGACAACAGTGCTGGGAAGAACAGAAGGCAGCAGGAAAAGAGGAAGGCTAAATATGAGCTAGATTAACTCAATAAAAGAAGCCATAGCAATGGGTCTACAGGAGCTGAGGAAGATTGCTGAGGACAGGACACTGAAGACATCACTTATTCATAAGGTTGCCAGGAGTCAGAGCTGATTCAACAAGCACGTAACATACACACTAGTGTGAGAATACTGAAAGTGTACTGGTAGAGAGAGTACTGAGTAGAATGTTTACACACAGGAAAGGTAATGCTTTTGGGGAAAGGAATGTTAAGAGGGAATGGAGAGAAATGCTGTGAAAAAACATGTAGTAAAAAGAAAAAAATTCAGGATCTTGAAAGTCTTAAAATTTTTAAAAAAATTTTGGACCTATAATTCTTTGTCTCCTTAAAAAACATCATCCAATAAAGACACTGTACTTTGTTAAACTTCCAGAAAAGAAAGCTCTTGAAGTAAGAATCTTGTAAACCACTCCAAGTGACCAAACTTGTCCACAGATATGCAGAGGAAAAATTCATTCTGTACAAACTACAAAAAGAAAACACAAGAATCTAAGCAATTCAGCTGATGCACCCCTTCCCAATATTCCAGTTATGAAGCAAACAAAAACTATAACATTCTAATTTAAATATTTTCAAATACGCATTTAGACATGGGGGACAAAGAAAACCCTATCTTCAAGTAGGAACTGAAAAACTAAAAAGAAATAGACCAAGAAGGGAAGAATTAATTTGTTAGGAAAAGAACTAAAAGAAAAAAATAAAATCATATTAGAAATGAAGCCTCAATTATAAAATGCCTAAGGAAGAATAAATATGAAAAATCAAAAACAAACTTTAAGAGACACTGAAGAACAATGGGAAAACAACAGAATAAAAATGAGATAAAGAAAAAAGTAAAAAGTGACAGAGATAAAGTGACTGAAATGGAAGAAAGAAGAATATCCAATTTACATATAAGAAGTTCCTGAAATCTACATATTGAAAAGGCCCACCAGATAGATGCCAGGACAAACTGACCTCCAATAATGAACTCTTAACACATACCCTGCTAAAACTTCAAAAGTTAAGACTTCAAAAATAAAGAAAAAATACCTTTAAGGCCTCCAGGAAAAAAGATTAAATAATTTACAAAGGCTAGAGAATAAAATCTGGCATCAGACTGACTTCTCAAAAACAACACACAGCCCGGGCCAGGTGGCTCAGCTGGTTAGAGTGTGTACCGTATACCAAAAGGTTGGGGGTTCAGTCCCCAGTTGGGGCACATACAAGAGGCAACCAATTGATGTTTCTCTCTCACACTGATGTCTCTCCCTCCTCCCCTTCCTATCTTTCTAAAAAAAATCAATAAACATATCCTTGGGTGAGGATAAGCACACACACAAAGTAAAACAACATTAAAAGCAAAAACAAACTCAAGGAAAGTAAGTGTGAATCAAGGACTCCATAGTTAACCAAGCTGATTTTCAAGTGTCAGGGTTACAGAAAAAGTCTTAAACATGCAAGAGCTTGGGGACTTCTGTATTCATGAGTCCTTCTTGAAGAATAAAGATGAACTTCATCCAAGAAGCTGAGGAACTTCAACAAAAAGACTAACGGCATTTGCTATAATCAATTATAAAGACTAAAAATATATAAAAGTAGAGAAGGGTGTGGAAGAATCATTTGTTATATGACAGATACTGTATGTTCTGTACAGAAATAAAGTAACTAAAAATGGAGGTGAAGAGAGAGCAAGAGAAAAGTAAAATAAGGTCATTTATTAACATATAGGCAATAGATAGGGGATAAAGAATACCATTAAATAATCACAAGCCAGAGAGTAAGAGGTTTAGTAAGAAAACAAGGAAAGCATTAAAATAAGTATACATATAAAGGTAACCACAAGAACAAGGTATAAAATTTTCTGAATATCAAAAGGAACTTAAACAAAAGAAGAACAAGGGAAATACATCATGTAGAGAAAGAAGCACAGAAAATATAACATAACATGAATAATCATAAAATGATAGAAGTGAGACCAAAAATATAAATCTTATCAGAATGGGTTTAACTTGCCTAATAAAAAAAAAAAGATTTTCAGTTTGGCTCACATAGCAAGACCCAAGTGTATGCTGTATTCAAGAGAGATAATTAAACAAAAAGACTCAGAAAGTCAAAGATACACTAGACAAATTAAGAGTTCAAACCAAAAGCATTAATTCAAAATGATGATAAAACACTTATGAATATCTATATATCAAATAATAGTGACTACTTTTATAAGCAAAAGCTGCAATAAATGCAAGGAAATACAAAAACATTAATGGGAGACTTTAACACAGCTCTTTCAGTACACAACAGATCAAGTAGACAAAATATAGTCCACATGACAAAAATTACTTGAGATTCTCAATAACGTTTAACAATACTAAAAAGGATCTTGTCACCAAGAGTTTGAAAACTGCTAGTACAGAAGCTCAAAAAACAGATCAATTAATTATGGAATTTGATTATTTACTAAAGAGTAAAGATGAACTTTTTATTAAATGGAACTAAGAAATCTGGTGATCCATTGGGAAAAACAAAAATTAGATCCCTATCTCAAAATACAACAAACTCCAAATGAATGAGGGATAAAGATGCAAAAATGAAATCATACAAATACTAGGAGAAAACATATACTAGGTGAGTTTATCTTTATCCAGGATTCAGTGAAAGGTTCTCTACGTATGATTCAAAATCAAGACACAATGAAAGATTGATAAAATGACTACATAAAAAAATTATTTTCCATAATCCCACACATGAAACAATAAAAAACTCACCATAAACAAAATCAAAAGACAAATGAAAAAAGAAAAAATATATTTGTAAGATATCATAGTTAGAGCTAATATCCCTAATATGTAAAAATTTCAGGGAAAAACACCAAAACCTGTTAGCAAATGTAAAACAATATGACTAGACAATTCACAAAAATAAAATATACAAAAAATTAAGCCATTATTAAATATGAGACAATATTAAACCTGACTTAAAAAAACAGAAAGGCAGCCCTGGCTCATTTGGTTGGGAGTCATCCTGTGCACCAAAGGTCACTGGTCTGATTCCTGTTCAGAGCACACACCCAGGTTGCAGGTTCGATCCCTGGTTACGATGCACACAGGAGGCAACTGATCAATTTTTCTCTCTCACATCGATGTTTCTCTCTCTCTCCCCCCTCTTCCCCTCTCTCTAAAAATCAATAAAAATTTTAAAAATTAAAATAACAACAGCAAAAAACAAAGGTAAATGAACACTACACTGAGATACCATTGATTTGGCAAAAATATGACACACATTGAGTTTAGGATCTGAGGAAACAGAGACTCACAGTTTGCTTGTAGAAATGCCAATATTTAACAAAATTACATATCTGTTTACCTTTTGATCCAGCAATTCCACTTTTAGGAATATATCCCGAAGACCCAATCCAACAATGTTAAAATAAATATATAGGTACAAAGCTACTCACTGCAGCATTGTTTGTAATTGTAAAATTCTGAAAACAATCTATATGTTTACACACAGGAGAGTGAGTTGGATAAACTATGTTACATTTACACAATGGTGTACTAATACTACACAATGGAAGATCTTTATGAATTGATCATGAATTTCCAGAGTATAGTGTCATGTGAAAAATATAATGTACCAAAAAAAACCTGTGTAATAAACAAGGAGAAAAAAGAAAACATAGATGTATCTGCACATTTGTGCAAAAATAAACAAAGGATGAATAAGCCAGAGACTAAAATAAATAAAAGCAACAGGAATGAGGTTGGGGGAAAGACCCTAAAGTGGAATACAAACAAACAAACAAAAAGGCCTGAATTGTATTTCAAATGAGTTATATAAACACCACAATGAGGTAAGAAAGGGGGAGGGAGAAGTAGCCCAAATCACTTTTAAACACAGCTTTTGAATTACATACTACATTCATGGTAAACTACACAAAGGCATAGGCTAATTCTAAAACTGCTTTTATTTTCCTAGAACTGCACAAAGTAAATATATTGTGGATAAAGGAAGCTAGGTTTCCCACTGTTGGAGCAGAGAGTTATAAACATGGAAAGGGGGAAGACTAGACTGAATCCTGAGTTAGAATCAAAGGTGTCAGGATAAACTCATGGTGTTTTAATACTTGGAAGATAGTAAAGAAATATATATATATACAGGGTGTCCCCCCAAAATGTATATACACTTTGAATAATTATAAAGGCACAATGGGTTAAGTCTGAGAAAAAAGAAACATCAATTGAGCTATCAGCTATTAAAGTATGTATACATTTTTTTGGGACACCCTGTATAACAAACACACACACACACGTACAAACACATAAAATATATATTTGTGCCCGGCCGGCATGGCTTAGTGGTTGAGTGTCAATCTATGAACCTGGAGGTCACGGTGATTCCCGGTCAGGGCACATGCCCAGGTTGCAGGCTCAACCCCCAGTAGGGGGAGGGCAGGAGGCAGCCAATCAATGACTCTCTCTCATTATTGATGTTTCTATCTCTCTCTCTCCTCTCCCTTCCTCTCTCTGAAATCAATAAATATTAAAAATAAAATAAAATAAATAAATATATATATATATATACGTGTGTGTGTGTGTATATATATATATATTTGTGAATATATACATATTCTCTACTTTCTAGCTCTATCTGCTGAGCGGGCCTAAAATAATGACACCCAATGACATTGTACACACCTAGCTCCCCAATCTTAATTTCAAAATAATTATAAATGGATAGAATGTCCTCCAATATTCCTTAAAATCCTGAGATTCAAAGACTTCATCAAATGACTATGATTAAGTTAAAATTTGGATGAAAATATAATTTGTTACACTTAAAAAATAGATACATTTCACATTACAGTCAATTTTAAGTACAAGATGAATGAATGTTTACCATATAAATATATATAACTTTGCAATTTTAAAATATAGATATTTTAGTACATAACTATATTAAATAGCATAAAAAATTTAAATTACCCTCTTGTCCATTTCATAAGATGAAGCTTCTGTACTTGGCAAAAGATGGGTAATAGTGGCTATCAGGATCTACAGTAAAAAAAAAAAGGAAAAAACCCACAAAATATGTTTAACTAATGTCCATTCTAAAATGTTAATGTTAATGCTAAAACGATATAAAATCTATTGCTGCAAGTTTGTCCTGAAACATTAACACTGTTATTTCAAAGTAATTTTTTAATATGTAAGCTTTTCAAGTACACTTAACTATCAATCATTTACAATCCTCCTGTACAGAATCAACTTTACATATGCTGTGAACTATATATGGATTTCTCACAAACTCAACTCATGAATCAATATGTGTAAACACACAGATAACATATGTTCTAATAGAAAATTAAAATATATATATAGAAAAGCAAAAAGATTTATAAAAATCATCTGCAATTCTGTCACTCAAGGTATCTACTCTGCTCAACATATTAGGTATAGAAGGAATGTACCTCAATATAAATAAAGGCCATACACGACAAGCCCACAGTTAATATCATATTCAATGGTGAAAAGTTAAAAGCCTTTCATCTAAGATCAGGAATAAGACAAAGATGTCCACAATTGCCATTTCTACTCAACATAGTACTAGAAGTCCTACCACAGCAATTGGGCAAATAAATAGCATCCAAATCTGAAAGGGAAAAGTAAAATTATTTCTGTTTGTAGATGACATGATCTTATATATAGGAAACCCTAAACATTGCACCAAAAAAACCCGTTACAACTATAAACGAATTCAATAAAGTTGCAGGATACAAAATCAAAACACAAAAATCTGTTGCATTTCTACACAAGCAACAAACTATCAGAAAGAGAAATTAAGAAAGATATCCCCATTCACATTAGCATCAAAATCAATACAATGGGAATAAATTTAATCAAAGAGGTAAAAGACCTACATACTGAAAACTATAAAACACTAATGAGTGAAGAAAGACAAGTACCATATGATTTCATTTATATGTGGAATTTAATGAACAAAATAAACTAACAAAGTGGAGACAGACTCATGGATACAGAAAACTGACAGCTGTCAGAGGGGTGGGGGTTGGCGGCTGGGTGAGAAGGGTGAAGGGATTAAGAAAAAAAGAAAAGAAAGATTCATGGACAAAGACAAACAATAATAGTCTGGTGATTGCCATGCAGCTGAGAGAGGTAGAAGGTAAAGGGGGATAAATGGTGATGGAAGGGGACTTGACTTGGGGTGGTGAACACACAGTACAATATAGAGATGATGTATTGTAGTACTGTATACTGAAAAAATTTATAATTTTATTAACCAATGTCACCCCAATAAATACAGTTAAAAACACACATACACAAAACCCTAAAGTGAATGAAATTGAGGAAGATGGAAATACAGTATTCTCCCTTATCCACAGGGGTCACATTCCAAGATCCCTAGTAGATACCTAAAATGTCAGAGAGTACCAAACCCTATATATACTATGCTATTTCCTATACATACATACCTATGATAAAGTTTAATTTATAAGTTAGGCACAATAAGAGATTAACAAGTAATTAATATTAAAATAAAACAATCATAACAATAAACTCTAGTAAAAGTTATGTGAATGTGGTCTTTCTTGCAGCAAACTAGCACAAATTTCTTTTTCCTTCTTCACAATTTCATGGATGGAAGATTCATTCTTATTGTAGATCTTAGCAAGATCACCGACTTTCACCTCTTCATTTATTTATTTTTTATTTTTTTAAATTTACCTTTGTTGTTGAAACTATTACAGGTGTTTCATTTTTCCCCTCAACTGACCCCCTCCACCTCGCTCCCACCCCCTCTCCAGGCCTTCACCCCGTTATTGACTGTGTCCATGGGTTATGCATATATGCATATAACTTCTTTGGTTAATCTCTTCCCACCCTCCACCCCCCTTCCCTCTTCCCTCTGAAATATGATCATCTGTTACATGCATCAATGTCTCTGGATCTATTTAGTTCGTCAGATTCTTTTGTTCATTAGCTTCTTCTGAAAGAAGACCCTTCAACATTTCCTGTAGTGCTGGTCTGGTGGTGGTGAACTCCTTTAGCTTTTCCTTGCTTGTGAAGCTCTTTATCTGATCTTCAGTTTTAAATGACAGCTTTGCTGGGTAGAGTAATCTTGGTTGTAGGCCCATGTTTTTCATCACTTTGAATATTCCTTGCCACTCCCTTCTGGCCTGCAAGGTTTCTGTTGAGAAATCAGCTGACAGTCGAATGGGTGCGCCCCTGTAGGTAACTAACTGCTTTTCTCTTGCTGCTTTTAAGATTCTCTCTTTGTCTTTGACCTTTGGCATTTTAATTATGATGTGTCTTGCTGTGGGCCTCTTTGGGTTCCTCTTGTTTGGGACCCTCTGTGCTTCCTGGATTTGTAAGTCTATTTCTTTCCACATGTAGGAGAAGTTTTCTGTCATTATTTTTTCAAATAGGTTTTCAATTTCTTGCTCTTTCTTCTCCTTCTGGGACCCCAATAATACAAATGTTGGGCTGCTTGAAGTTGTCCCAGAGACTCCTTATACTATCTTCATATTTCTGGATTCTTTTTCTTTTTGCTCTTCTGGTTGGGTGTTTTTTGTTTCCTCATGTTCCAAATTGCTGATTTGATTCTCAGCGTCCTTTACTGTTGATTCCCTGTAAATTAATCTTCATTTCAGTTTGTTCAGCCTTCATTTCAAATTGGTACTTTATTATGTCATCGATTTTCTCAGTTGTTTTTGTTATAATATGCTTGAGCGTTGTTATAAACAAAATTCTGAACTCTGTATCTGTTAGCTTGCTTGGATCTATTTCATTTAGTTCCTGTTCTAGAGCTTTCTTCTCTTCTTTCCTTTGTGACATGTTTCTTTATCTCCACATTTTGGCTGCTTCCTGGTGTTTGTTTCTATGTATTAGGTAAAGCTGCTATGTCTCCTGGAATTTGTACAGTGGCTTTGTGTAGTAGGTGTCCTGTAGGGTCCAGTGGCTCAGCCTCCCCAGTCACCTGAGCTGGGCCTTCTAGGTGCTCCTCTGTGTGGGCTGTGTGGACTGTCCTGTTGTAGTTGAGCCTTGGTTGCTGTTGGCATCACTGGGAGGAATTGACCTTCCCGCCAATCAGCTGTGAAGACAAGCTGCAACTACAGCCAAAGAGCTGCTGTGCTGGAGACACACCTATGGATCAGGATTTACGTCAATGGAGCTTTGATGTTCACTAAGTGTGCCCCTTGAGTGTGTCACTCGTGGATGTGGTAGGGTTGTAATCCAGTATGGTCGAGTCTGACCACCAGGTACACTGTCTCTGGGGCCTCCCAGGAGGTGCAAAGTCAGCCTGTGCCAGTGCCTTGCCCAGGGCCACCCAGCATGAGCTACACAGCAAACTGTAGTTGGCTGCTACTTGTGCTGGGCTTGGTGTTGTCCAGGGGAGGCCAAGCTATGAACCAATGCAGGCTGCCAGTAGTGCCAGGCCTGGGGCCACTTATCAAATTGTATGGGGCACACTGCTGCTTGTTTGAGAGACTTTAGAAAGTTCTAAGCATGAGGCTTGAGAGGCTACTTGCACAGAAAAGCCCCTGGAAATGGCTTGGATGAGCTTGCAGGTGGGGAGGGGCAGGGCCTCTGGGAATCACCCGGGCGAGGCCAAAGGTGTGAGTCAGGTGCTGGCGATTCAAATATGGCACCTCCCTGCCGGCTCTGTGCGGGGAGGGCTCGCCAAAGGAGCAATGGTCTCTGCCAGCTCTTCTGCATGGGAGAAAGTTGCCCCTCCAGCTCTTGCCCCAATTTCAGAGAGGGTAGTTCCTCCCCAAGTGTCCTGGGTTCCTTTGAAGCTGCTGCCTGGGGCTGGGGCTCAGAGGGAGCATGTCTGAGTGAGTCTGTACGCCGGCCCTTTACAAGGAAAGCCTGGGACTCCTGCCACCTCTGCGTCCCTCAGAGACAGTCCCCACTGGTTTTCACAGCCTGAAGTTGTGGGAATTTCTCTTCCTAGCCCCGGAGCCTGCTTTGTGGCCAGGACCCCTCACTCCTCCGGGAAGCCTCCACCGCTGAGACATCCCTCCCAGGTTTAACCTGTGGCGCTGGGTGTGGGCCCACAGTCGCATCACTGAGATTCGCCCCATCCACCTGCGTCTCCACTCCTCCTACTGGTCTCAATGCTCCCTCAGTTCCCTGGTTGTAGGGCTTCTGTTCAGAGATTTCAGGAGGTTCTGAGTTATGGTTGCTCTGTATTTCAGTTGCAATCCTGGTGTGGTTGTGTGAGGTGGCGGGTACAGCTATTACTTACGCCGCCATCTTGCCTCCTTCTGGACCTCACCTTATCATTTAAAGGAAGCACTTTACAGTTTCTCTTTGGCATATCTGAATTGCCAGCACCACTATTCTTACACTTTTCAGCCTTTATTAAGTAAAATAAGGTTTACTGAACACAGGCACTGGGGTCCTGTGACAGATGATCCAATAACTGAGATGGTTACTAAGTGACTAATGGGAGAGAAGAGAACACAGTATGGATACTGTATTCGCTGGATAAAAGAATGATTCATATCCCAGGTGGGACTGAGAAGGACAATGTGAGATTTCATCATGCTACTCAGAACAGCGTAGTATTTAAAATTTACTATAAATTGTTTATTTCTGAAATTCTCCATTTAATATTTTTGTACTGCAGTTGACCATGGGTAATTAAAATTATATGGAAAGATATTCCATGTTATAGACTGGGAGAATTAACATAGTTCAATTTTTCATACCATCTACAGCGATCTACAAATTCAGTGAAACCCAAAATTCCAAGGCATTTTTCTCAGAAACAGAAAAAACTATTTTAAAATTTGTATGGAACCACAAGAAGCCATAAAGAGCCAAAGCCATCTTGAGAAAGAGGAAAGTTGGAGGCGTCACACTCCCTGATTTCAGGTTACATCATAAAACTATAGCAATAAAAACACGACAGTAAGGTACTGACATAAACTCAGGCACACAGAAGAGTAGATCAGAAGAGAGCGCCTATACACAAACCTATGCTTATACAGTCAACTAATCTTTGACAAAGGCACCAAGACACACAACGGGGAAAGGATAGTCTGCTCAATAAATGGTGCTGGGAAAACTAAATAGCCACATACAAAAGAATAAAATTGCACCTAAATCTTACACCACTCACAAAAATTAACTCTAAATGAATCAAGGGCTTAAATATAAGAGCTGAAACCATAAAACTCCTAGAACAACACATAGGGAAAATTATTCTTGACATTGGTCTTGGCACTGATTTCTTGGATAAGGCACCAAAAGCACAGGCAACAAAAGCTAAATGAACAGGCGGGACTATATCAAACTAAAGAGCTTCTGCAAAGCAAAGGAAACAATAAATTTAAAAGAAAACCGATGAAATGGGGGAAAATATTTGCTATGTATCTGGATAAGGTGTTAGTATCCAAAATATATAATGACCTCATACAACTAATAGCAAAAAAGTAAATAATCCAATTTAAAAATGGGCAAAGGACCTGAATAAACATTTTTCCAAAGAAGACATTCAAATCATTACTAGCTGTAAGAAAAGTGCTCAGCATCACTAATCATCAGAGAAATGCTTATCAAAATCACAATGAGATATCACCTCACATCTGTTAGGAAGGCTATTTTCATAAAGACAAGAGATAACAGCTGTTGGCAAGGACTTGGGAGAAAAGGGAAGCCTTATATACTGTTGGTGGAAGTATGAACTGGTACAGCCATTATGAAAAACGGTATGGCAGTTCCTAAAAAAAATTAAAAATGAAACTACAAGATGATCCAGCAATCCCACTCCTGACAGAAAATGAAATCAGTACCTAAAGAGATATCTGCACACCCATGTTCATTGCAGCATTATTCACAATAGCCCAGATATAGAAATAAACTAAATGTCTTCAACTCATGAATAAGGAAATGTAGTACGTATGTACACACACACACACACCAGAATATTATTCAGCCATTTTAAAATATAGGAAATCCTGCCATTTGTGACAACACGAATGAACCTGGAGGGCATTACGCTAAGTGAACTAAGCCAAGCAGAGAAAGACAAATACTGTATGGTATCACTTATATGTGGAATCTAAAAAAAAAGCTGAAACAGAGAGTAAAACAGTGGTTGCTGGAGCTGAAGGGAGAGAAGGGAAATGGGGAGATGTAGGTCAAAGGGTACAAACTTTCAGCTATAACATTAAGTTCTGAGGATCTAATGTACAACATGGTAGCTATAGTTAATTATATGGTCAGTAATGAATATCTGAAAGTTGCTAAGAGTAAATTTATTCTCACCATAAAAAAAAGTTAACTGTGTGAAATAATAGATGTGTTAATTATCTTGATTTTGGTCATCATTCCACAATGTCAAATCATGTTGTGCACCTTAAATACAATTATATTTATCAATTATTCCTCAATAAAGTTGGGGGGAAGTGTAAAAATCTATTCTCTTGTCTTTCTAGATGTTTCCATATATATGTAAATATATGCTTGTTTAAAAAAACAAGATATATTATAATGTGGCTTTTAAATTAACATATTATACACTGAATAGTACATGAACAAATTTGATACAGAGAATATTAACTAATAATAAATTAAAAGGCAAAATATTAATATACCGTTATTTACCCTGGGAATCTCTTGATCACAATCAACTCTTTTATGTGCTTGCTAAAAATGTACAGGGATAAATTTGTTTTTATTGTATGCTATTATATTTTTATAAATTATTGCTTCAATGCACCAGGTAGAAAAATCCCTCTCTATATACTTTATACAGTAAAGGTTTACCAGCAGAATCTAGTATATTAGATGCACCTGCTTCATAATGGTAATAGAACTGAGCTTCAATTCCTAACTATGCAAATAAGTAACAATTAGTGAAATGATTCATTATTGTGGGAGTCCATTCCTACATTCAACTAGAGGTGAAGTATAGTAACTCTTTATGTTCAACTGTAGCAGTTGGCCACTATAATGTATAGTGAAGCAATCTGCAACAAGTCTTCACACTTGAGTACTTAGGTAAGTATTAATAATAGATAATCTGATAAAGAAAATAAGGAAAAGGATTTGAAGGCTTTCAAATGAGAAGAAAAAAACTGCTTAAAGAACAAATTTAATTTTCAAATAGAATAAGCAATCTTAAAGAGTAAATTCTTGAAATGTTTTCATATTAGCATACAGATGCATATTCATATTTACATCCAGTTATCATGTCCCCATTGAAAATAATAGCTGCAGCCAACATTTATTAATTTGTACACAAGTATATTTACTGCTGTAATAGAGGCTGGCAACATGGCTGAGTGGGAAAAGCATAGACCTGAAATTTTACAGACCTGAGTGTGAACACTGCCCTGTTAGCTGTGACTTTACATAGTTACTAAATGCTCAGTTCTCTCATCTTAAATTAAGGGAAGGGGGGAGGGAGGAAGATAACTGCTCACCTCAAAAGACTTTTAAGAATTAAATGAGATAACATGTGGAAGGTGATTGGTGTAGTAGCTGGTACACAGTAGATGCTTAATAAATATTAATTACCATCTTTACTAAAAATGTTACAATATGAAGAATAATAAATTCTGGTTAGAGAGAACAAGTAAGAGTTCTTATTTTTTGATGAGATGGATTTAAACCAGTAACTGAAAATGGGGGTAGGGGGATGTAGAGAGGAAAATCAGAGCACTTCAGGTAAGAAGGAGTGAGGGGTATGTTTAGCTGATAATAAGCCAACCCAGGTGTCTGGACTACAGTGTATTTGAAAGGAATATGTACATGATTCTGAAAAGATGGGTTGCATCCTCATCTGAAGGCCTCAAAACCCCAGCTAAATAATTTGGATCTTATTTTATAGGCAAAGGAAAACCACTCAAAGATTTTGTTTGGTTTTGTTTTTTTCAGGTAAGTGACATAAAAGTCATGTAAATATGAATGATGATTTGAGGGGGAAGACCTCAGAAGCCAGGAGATCAATTAGAAGGCTATTACAGTATACCAAGAAAGAAATAAGAAAGGGCTGAAATAGTTTAGATATGGAAGAAAGTGTAGAAAACATGGAATTAAAATAAAATAAAAACTATGAATAACTGGTTGAAGGGGAAAGAAAAGTAATGAATAAAAATAGTGTCCTGATATGGTAACTGGAGGGATGGCATGTTTTCTTAACCTAAAAGAGGGAATGAAGCCAAATGCATATTCATAAAGACAATGGCAATTGTAAATCTGCAGGTAGCATTTAAAAACAAGAACACGATCACCTAACATAAAACACAAAGGTACTGTCATGAACTTTGATACTCAAAAATGCACCTGGGTTGTCATTATTTACTTATGCAAAATTTGAAAACTATTACGTAATTTTATATTTCAAGGTATCCAAATCTAAAAATCTTTAACAAGGTCATTATAAGAAATAAATAAGAAATTACTTACTTGAATAATTTTCAAGGGAGAGTCAGGCTGGTAAATTTGAAGTCTAGGCACATAATGAACCAGCATATGAAGCATGTTACAAGCTACATGGGCTACTGTTTTATTAGTAAACTGTAATAACAACAAAAGAAAAAAAACACATAAAAATTTCTTCCTGAACTATTATGCATCAATGCATTAGCTGCTGAAAAAATTTAAATTTCATGTTTCTTTTTGTCTTTCTACATTTATAATGTGTTAAAATATTATTAGGAAGATAAATATACACCTGCAAAATTAATTAAAAATCACAACTCATTACAAAGACAATTTTATTTTTCCTTTGTAATGTTTGACTGTCCTCACTTAACTTTTATTTCATTTTCTCTTATCTACATTTCTGTAGCAGCCTCTCATCTTATTATCAATCTTTCCCCATTCCAATCGACTAGACATAATACTTCCAAATTGAGCTTCTGAAGAACTCCTCTGATGTTGACATTCTCTATGCTTAAAACTCTTAAATGACTCCCCAAAGGCATAAAGTGATACTTTTTATGTTTCTCTCTCTATGACCAAATCTTACCCACTCTTCAAGCCCTGACCAAAAGTCTCCTCTTTTTAAATTCTTCTCTGGTACCTAAGCCAAAGTGATCTCTGCTACCTCTGAACTCAATCAGCAGTTTACATGCACAACTCATTTGGTTATCTCAGCTTTTTTTATTTGATTACTCTTATTTTAATCTTTTTCAGACATCAGATCCTTAATCTCTTGAATTTAATATTTATAATTCTTTTCATTCTTGTATCTCTTACTCAGCCTAACAAAGCGCCTCAAACTAGAATATGCTCAGAAGTATCTGTCAAATCAGTAATATTTGTACTTTGTATCTTTACAGTCCTATAGAGTGTATTATAAGTATTAAGATAGAAATATTATGCATCCTTTCAGAAACAAAAATGTCCATCCATTCATTTAGACTCTCCAAATAATCAGGTTGTTTCTGAACAAATCTTATTTTGGTCACAAAGAGGGCATTTAACCTGAATGATAAATTCAAATTTTTGAGCAGCTCAAAAATTCAGAAGTAATAAAGATCAAATAGTAGGTTACAAAAATACCAATAAAGAAAAAATAAGCAACCCTACATATGTTGTTAAATAACTTGTTTCCTTTTTAGGAGTCATCCATATGTATTTTAGGAACAAAGCCAAATACATAAAACAATGAGATAAAATATGTCATTACTAAGATAGTCTAAATTCAAAAGTAGGACCATTCTTGAAAAAGTCAGGATCAAGGAGATAATATAATAACAAATTAATGAAAACATTTATTAAATGTTTTAAATCTGTAAAGGCACAGCATATAATTAACATTTAGGAAAAATAATCATGATTCTATGTTATCTTAATATATTCCACTAAATAGTTTTGTTTTTGTCATTTTACCTTTAAGGAAACACAAATTACATTCAGAGCTTCCTTAATTTGCGGATGATGAGACTCATGGACCAGTTCTTCACAAATCCAAATACCTAAACTGCAAAGTGCTACACATCTGCAAAAAAGGCAACCAACAATGACACTAATAAAAGTGTATGAGCCTTTAAATGACATGAAACCACCACCACAACCAAAACATCCACAACCAGCCATCATAGAATGAACATGCACTGTTAAAGTAAATTGATCAATTTGTTACTCTGTACATCTGCTCTTCTTAGGAAGAGAAAGTAAGAGGAAAGCACATCCCCAACTCTAAATCTAATTTTCAATTATAATTCAGTACCAAGATCATAGGCAGAGATAATACGCAGGATTTTTCTAACAAATCCATATTAATTAATTGATGTTTTCATAAAGATTCCCAAACAAATATGTAACCTTTCAAAAAAAAGTGTAATTTGATTAACTGATAGCAGTAAAGTGAACTTAAGCAAAAACAAGAAGTTGCTGAGGTAAGTCAAATATTTTCTTATCTTTTAAATTTAACATAGCTAGCTACAAACTCTTTAAAAAACAAATTAGGTACACAAATAAAATGTATATACTTTATAAAGGGATTCCAACAGAAACAGAACTTGTAGAATTTTTGCCTAATGTCTTGTGAAACTTCATTTCCCTACTTCAACTGATTTTCAGCTTGAAGGGAGTAACTTGCGGTCAGAAATCAGTGGAATTCCATTAGTGCGATCAAATATAACCTTCTGATGAAGAATATAATGGTGCCAAAAATTAAAAAAAGTTGACTCCTTCTAGTGTCCCAGTATACCTGGCAAGTCCTGATACTGATATTCTTAAATTCAGTAGAATGCTAAATTTCAGAACAATTCAATGCAGAAACATTTTACTTCCTGAACACACGGGATCAGCTCTTAAGTCCTCTCTTTCAGACTAGCACAGTGTCAATGCTATAAATTGTTTACTATCAAAACTACCAGAAAGTCTTCTAACCAGTCCACGGATTTATTTCTCCCCTACTATCGTTTACCCATAAATCTTAGGTAATATTTATAGATCTAAATAACCAAGTTTCATGGTTAGCGGTAAAAAAAGCTATAATCATCAAGTAACATTAAACCCAAAAGTGAAGCAAAGCTCTCTATGGATACAGCTAACTAAAGGCACAGACTGGGAATGCAACTGCTTAACAGGTTTTTTTGGTAACAGGGAATAAGACCTGTGTTTGCATGTCTGTATGATCCCATACACGCATACAGTTTCCTACATCCCTAAAGATGTCCAAATAATCTAGATTATTCCCAGTATGGCTAAACTCTCTACTCCAGATCAATCT